GGAATACATCCGGAGGCAGGGTAAAATCTACAAAGTTCAGGTGTGGCAGTACCTGCAAGTGTCACGGAGTGTCACGGACATTACCCATCGTCACAGCCAGATAGGTCAGGCGTCCATCATCCGACAAATTCAGCCACCCTGGGGTGTCTTAATCCAGCACGTTTTTGATGCGTCCTGCAGTGTCATCCAAACCGAGGGTCTAAGGCAAAATAAAATTAGGGTATCTACACATAAAGTGGGAAGAGGGAGAAAGTCCTGAGAAGTCGAAGCGATAGCAGAATCTGAGAAACCAATCACTTGTCTCGCTACTCCTGGGAGGCACACCTGGCCTGCACGTCGACCGCGAGCGGACGACGGGGCGTCTCGCTCGAGGGTGGCTGGACTTGCCTGCTCGTTCTGATAGCGCCAGCAGTAGAGGGAAAGAGCGAGCGAGAGAGAGAGAGTGAGTGAGTGTGAGAGTGAGAGTGAGAGTGAGAGTGAGTGTGAGAGTGAGAGTGAGAGTGAGAGTGAGAGTGAGAGTGAGAGTGAGAGTGAGAGTGAGAGTGAGAGTGAGAGTGAGAGTGAGAGTGAGAGTGAGAGTGAGAGTGAGAGTGAGAGGGAGAGAACAACCATATGACAAAAAAAGCTGCAACCCCGAAGCCACCCTGAAGCTGTTTTGAGGTTCCAGAATCGTCATCCATTTCTGGGGGATCCAGAGTGGTTGATCAAGTTGGTCAAAGCCATATGTCACAGATTTGGCCTTCAAGTCAATAGGGGTTTTGACTTACTATTTGCCCCCTAATCATTTGGCATTGGGCTCTCTTCGCTATTACCAACACTCTTACAAGTTACGTTTGGGTTTTTAGGCTTGTGTTGTGCGGTTTCGAGGTTTGAAGTTTGAGCTATCATTTCAAGCATCCCCGAAGAGTCTGCATCCTACCTCTACTCTCCATTGCATTTCCTTTTTGGGCTTACCTTAATACTTAGAAGGTCCTTTAATACATAGTTGGTTAAACCACAAAAATGGAGCCACAGAATGGAGACCTAGACCCGAAACCCTGAGCCTGCCGCAACCCAAACCGAAACCCAGAGGGTTTAGGGCTCAGGGTTTAAGGGTTTTAGGGTTTAGGGGTCTCAGGTTTTAGGGTTTCAGGTTTAATTCAAGGGTCTAGGGTTTAGGCTTATAGGGTTTAGGGTTCAGGCTTTCAGGGAGCCATAGAGCCGCAACCCCAAAGCGTGAAGCCACGCAGCCCTAACCCGAAACCCAAAAAACCCGAAAGGCCCGAAACCCCAATATTCCGAAAGGCCACAACCCTGAAAGACACAAGGCTCCAATAAAAACCCACTTGAAAGGAAGCGTCTCAGCTAAACCCTAAACCCCTAATCCCTAAACCCCAAACCCTAACACCCAGGCTAAACCCCTAAACCCTAAACCCCTAAAAATCCGACACCCCTAAAACCCTAAAACCCCAAAGCCCTAAAACTCGAAACCCCTAATCTCTCAACCCTAAACCCCAAACCCTAAACCCTCAACCCTAAACCCTAAACCCTAAACCGATTGAGAAAGGCCAAGCGGCTTTTCGAGGTTGGCTGAGCAAAGCTTCATGGTTGCAGAGGCGCACCCTCGCTTGTTTAACGGGGGCCTGAAGCTTCAGGCTTTAGGCTTTACCCTAAGGCTCTAAAGACTCATATTTTAAGGCTTTTGGGCCCCAAGACCATAGCATATGAGGCCTTCGGGCTATTTTGAGCATCAGGGTAGGGTTGGGCTTTAGGGTCTTTAGGGTTTAGAGGGCTTGGGGTTTAGGGTTTACGGTTTAGGGTTGGCTTCAGACTCTAGGGATCTGGAGTTCATAGGTTTAAGGTCTTTAGGGCTTAGTGCTTAAAGGGCTTAGCAGGGTTTAGGGTTTAGGGCTTAAAAGGCTTAGCAGATTCATAGTCAGAGCTTTCAAGGTTTGGGGTTTCTGCATCGCAGAGAGGCTTTGGGCTTTGAGGCAAAGGCTGCGTGGTCTGGATGCTGTCGGTCCATAGCTTTTTCATGGGCGGCAAGATCCTCGGTGTCCGAACTAGCCTAAACTCCCCCCCTAAACCCTAAACCCCCGAAGCCCTATAAACCCTAAACTCTAATCCCGAACACTAGTTATTGATGCGATTTGGGTCCGAGGCTTAGGGGGTTTCCTGACAGCCAAACAAAGCAGAACCGCATCGCAAGCATCCATGCAAATATGCTTGAACCTCAGAAATCCTGCAAAACCCTGTCTAAGCGGTTCCGGTGGATGCCAAAATCGTGTGCGTATGTCCGCCTGTCTGTCCGTCCGTCCGTCTGTCTGCCAATGCGGAAGAGTCTAAGCCCTAAACCCTAAACCCTAGGGGTTGTGGGGTTTGGATTTTCAGGCATTTGGGCTCTGGGCTCCAGGGTGTTGGGTGCCAGGGTGTTTGCTGTTTAGGGTGTCGAGCCTTAGCTTATGCAGGCGCAGGACTAGTTTGACGGAAGCCAAGCGGAATCTGGCGATTGACATCGCAACCTACACCCGAGTCCTCAAATCCTATGTAATCCCTAAGCCATAAGCCCAAATGCTCCAAGCCTCAACCCAGCTTGAAACAACACTGCCTGCCACCTCAGAACAGCAACTGGAGCAACCAGGATACTGTAGGGGCCTAAATAATTACCAATACTATTTTGGGGGGCTCCTTATTACAATTATAGTATAATGGCCTCCAAACCCCGTTCGAAATATTAAGGCCCCCTATATTACCTGCAAGCGGGAATGTGCCTAGCCTTAGGCTGAACACTTCGAAAATCCTTCGGGTTTAGGGCTTTTTTCGTGTGTCTGCTAGAACCCTGCGGGTCCAAGCACTCCCCGTTATGGGCCTTGGGGTCCTTGTCGGGGAGCCCGAACCCTACATGAGGACTCCCTTGGATTAGAATCTTAGGGGAGTTATAAGGGAAGAGTATTCCTCACTCGTGAATCTACTGTAAGGGCCTTAACACTTAGAGTAGGGCCTGGGGCTATTTTCTACTGTAGACAAAAAGGAACCCCCAAATAGTATTTTTGCAGGCCCTTGTATTTCTACAATATGTTCATGGTGTAGGTGCTTACTCCAGGTAAGCTTGAAGGCTCGGATCCTCAGTGTTACCACGAACGCGGAGATCTTAAACGCGGTGCATGTGGGTGGTTGTCAAAATTATGGTCCCTTTTTGGGTCCTTGTTATAATACGGCACCTATTATTTAGGGTACCCCAAAAGGGACCATAATTTTGACAACGACCCATGTAGGCTTTCTATGGTATTTCTCGTCTCCCCATAGTAAGACCCCACATAGACACCTACCAACTTTCAACAGGAATCCTATACACGCTCATCGAAACCTGTACGCAGCACAGCTCATGTAGGGTTTAGGGTTGAGGGTTTAGGGATTGGGCTTGGATGTCAGGTCTAGGATTGCAGATGTTTCGGGATCCTGGATTTCCTGTGTGCAACGGTAAAATTTGTAGTGATGTCTGTCGTTTCTCTCACGACTATGGACACTAGAGGTTCTCCAATCCCAACAGCACAACACTCTCCATCCTGAAAACTCTACATTATTCTACATCATCCGGTGGAAACTCCGGATTCTTGGGTGCTGCCATAGACTGCAAGAGATACCTGTACCTGCGGCTACTCCCTTCATGCCCCTTCACCACGCGCACGCCCAAAGAAATCACCTTTTCTCCACACGCGCACGCCTGGCGTGCAAGGATCTAAGGGCTGCGCTGCACGAAGCCTGGGTACGAACCTTTCTTTGTAGGGACTCTTGCAGAGGATAAGGGTTTACGGTTACGGGTTTAACGGTTCGGTTAAGTTAAGAGTCTGTAGGCGAAGTCAAGAACTCGAAACCGTGAGGCACAGCCGTTCTTGAACAGAGCGAGCGATGTGTACGGTTATCCCGAAACACCGGGCGTAAACGCTAAATTGCAAAATCGTCTCTCAGAAAACTGCGAAGAACCTCAGCATGCCCGCCATGGTGAGTGCACATGTGTCTTGGACTTGTGATCTTGGGTGGCAATCTTCGCTACGGGGCAAAGATCAGACCAGAGGCATACCAGCCTCCAACGAGGCTTCAATTCAGGTTTATAGCAAATTTGACACACCCCATCGCCACACCGCAGACACCAGTTCCGCATCATCATCTTCGCATAGCAGCTTACCGTTCAGACGCTCCGAAGACACGCAGAGCTGTGGCTTTGTACGGTCTTCGGTTTGAAGCTTATGGTTTTCGTTTTGGGGTTCAGATTCAGGTGGGAGGAGCTTTCGGCCGTCCCAAGCGCACGTGCAGCCACCCTTGGAGTGGAAGTCGCAACATGTACGTGGCAAACTGCGATGAATACGGGACGCACAGACTCCGCACACTTCATCCTGTACGTGTTATGGGAATCGGAAGTGCTAGATTGACAAAGACGCGCAGTTGATACGTTCATAGCTGCTAAATCGTATCGTATTCATCATGTATATCCAAATTTAAAGCATGGCCCCTAATTGTGCCACCCTACGCAAAGGCTTCACGGAGTACGTAGAGGCCATGATCAGTTCATGACAGCAGGAACTGACAAAGCGCTCAACAGCAAAGAAAACAGGACAGGTGAAGATGGTGCTTTACAAACTTGCCCTAAACCCTAGACCCTAAACCCTAAACCCTAAATCCTAAATCCTAAACCCTAAACCATAAACCCTAAACCCTAAACCCTAAATCCTAGGAGCACCAAAGGTTAACCTTTGGGACTATTACATAGGCCTGTACTTACGAGAGGTTAAAGGTTACTTACTCTTTATATAGGGTTTAGGGTTTGGGGGTTTAGAAAATAGGGTTTGGGGTACTCTACTAGCAAGTGTATGCTCTGCAGGACAAATACTGCGAAAGACGATGTCACACAAAAAAGGTTCGGTGCTGCAGCTTCGACGAGCTTGTACCTGTGATCACTTGCAATGGTTCGGACCGATATGATACAATGACCATAATGCTTAGATTAGGATTTTGGGCTCCTATATATTATAATTAAAGGAGCCCCAGATAATAATGTTCGTATTGTTTGAGCTTCTACAGCCTACAGTATGGTCATGTATGCCTCTTTAGGCTGCTAAACTGCAAATCCTTCATCTAAGCTCTCGATGCCAACCTGTCCTTTTCATCCATACCACAGTCCGAAGAGAGTCTTTAAACCCAACACCCTATACCCCCCACCCAGAACCCTCAGTGGACCCTACAACCCCGAAGAACTACAAAGCCAGAGTCTGACTCCAGATGCCCAAAGACAGTCTGCCTGCGACTGAGACCAGGAAACTTGGTGCCTGTTTCTCTACCTTCACTGGCCCTTCCGCAGGAAGCCTCACAGTTCAGGGATTAGGGTTTATGCATGGCTTAGATAATGAGGC